CCACACAACTCCCCACACTGAGTCAGAAATCCTATCTATCTTTGACAAGTTTCACCACAACACATACACACAAAAGATTTGATGCAAACAGTAAAAGTTTGGCAAATGCTTTCATCTTAAAATAATAAATACCGGTAGTTTTTCAAGAAGCAGCAATTCTGAAGTTATTTATAAATGCGTATCTATGCTTGTACACAGCTCTCCCCCAAAAAACATTCCAGACCAAATTTGTGTTTCACCTCTTCAACAAGAATTAAAAGAACTAAATGAACTTCAACTAAAGGAAAATCAGATTTTAAAAGCCAGGAAGAACAGAAAGAGGTACGGGGGAGACAATTCAAGGAACGTTCTGGTAAAATTAAAAAGGAAAAAGTTAACTTAATAGAATCATAATTGAACTTTATTATAATAAATAGCTTCATAAAAAGTTTTAGCTAAATTACTTTAATAAACATGTTTAAATTTCAGAGACAGAAGTGATCAAGAAACGCCAGCCCTCGCAAGTCTTGGTATTAATTTGAAGCAATAATTTTGTGTATTCTGGAATTAAATTTTATTGCGGCATCAGTGTTAGCCACACACTTGACGCATTTCTTTCAGAAAGAGGACAAATGTTTCAGAAAGAGAAGTACAAAACACAAGTGATCAAGAGAGATACGACCCTGGCCATACGATTAACACGTGCACATATGGACTTGGCATTTGTAAAAAATAGAGAGGTGACATACTAGAACGTAACTACATCGTTAGTGTACTCATCTGGGAGGTTTGTACTCAGAAAACAGCAGGTTTAGTGCTGGAGGTGAGTATTGTCCTCCAGGACTTGGTGGAGTCCACGGGCAGAGCTCAGTGCCCTGACACTGCTCACCTCCCCAGACAGCCAGCAGGGCAGCCCCGGATTTGGAGCAGCAGGTACAGGCTGAGCACGGGACTGCGGCTACAGGACTGAAGGGTTTGGAAAAGAACGTGGTAAGGAAGTTGAGGACATCCATGAAAACATCCATCCATGAAAACATCCATCCATGAAAACATAACACAGAGAGTTTAAACTGGATCGATACCGTTCCTCTATCATACAACACCAATTCTGCAATTTCTTAGCCATAAAAGTGCTCAGGCTTTCCAATCTGAAGGTCAGTTTTTGGTTTGGGTTTGTGTTTTTTTTCTTTTTAAAAAAATCTGTGAATCTCTCCCCAGGCCAATACGTCTTGTCTTGGCCACCTCTTCTACCCTCCACAGTGTCTGATGCAGAAGTATTTAGACAAGAGTAATGCTGAGCTGATGATTCACAAAGAATCATTTACAGCCTTTTAGGTAGAGCAGCATTTTCTGACTTAATTCAGCAGCAGCCAAGTTTTCTAAATTTACAAATAGGAACAGCTTAGAAAAGCTTGTGTCCTCCCTCACCAAAAATCTGGTTTAAGAGGCAAAAAGCGGTGCGTAAGTATGATCCTGTTGTGAATCAAGGCTGCTATCTGATGCGAAGAACCTTTTCAAAAAAGTGTCCTGTACAATATAAAAATGAACCAGTAAAACCCTAGTAAGGCAAGAATATAATTTCTTCTTACGAGTCTAAAGCACATTGTAAAAAAGTTAGTGGCAACCACTTAAAATGTCTCATTTTTGTACGTTTCATACATTCACTGCAACAGTTCTACTCAAGTCACGTTGGCATTTATAACACACATCACAACTCTACACAAAGCCATTTTTCTTTAAGTGCCACTCCTCGTGCCATCAAACCATTCCTGTACTGTCATGCTCGATGATGCACCATTTAAGGACTTAATATTAATTTGAATTAGCTGAAAACGATTTTTCAGACAGAATTACTCTGACAGTAGCAAAGTTAATGTTTTACTAACCAATTAAAAGGGAACTACTTACACGAGGATGCTCTACGAGGCCAAGTATCCTTGGATGAAGTTACTTACAGAGTTCCTTGGAAAGGATTCCAGCTAACCAATCTGACAGACGGACAAACCGAACGTTTCCTTTCACAAAGCAAGCTAGCGGTGTGATGTCTGATAAATGGGAATGTCCTTGGAATGTGAAGGACAAAGAACTGTAACATAAATTTATTGTAAATCATGTTACAACCGATGCGCAGGGAAGCAAAAAAACACTCGCTGACACACACTTAGATGCTTTTATAGAAATGTACCTGTTTTAAGGAAAACTGGAATTGTAGCATAGGAAGAAAAATAATGATCACTGAATTAGATTTAGGCACTTGAGCTGCATAGACCGTAGAAGGTGCCCACCAGATGCGTTCAACATCCACACAGCACACCTACACCCAGGAACACACTGTGCAATGCACAGGAAAACAGCTCCTAAGCCTCCCTGGAGAAAAGATTAAAAATAAAAATGAGGTTAGGTAGATCCCTGTTCACATTTCCCGAGTTCTGTATTCCACCTTTCCTCACAATTAAAAACCTCAGATCGCAGAGGCAGCACGTTAGAGATAATTTACCAAGTTTACGATCTGCTAAACCAAAAGACGCGTTTTAAGCGTTGGTTATTGAAACAGGACTTCCTGCTGTATTATTTTTGCCAGTAAAATGGCATTCTGCAGCATAAACTTCAAAACCTGTTTTTAAAGACCCCTCCCTTTTTCTGTGCAATACTCTGAGAACGAATTTCACAAAGGCAAAGAAATCTCAAGCTTCAGCTGAGAGCCAGGGCAACACAACAGCAGAGGGGAGAGCACAGAAGAGACACAAACCCAGGTCATGGCTTGTGTTAGGACAATCCCTCCGGAAAAACAGCCCAGTGCAGCCGAAAGCAGCGCTGGAGCAAAGTTAACTGGCTTTTCTATGGACAGAGTTGTGAGAAAAACACGAATTGTCCTACCGGGAAAGGGAAAAAGCTGTGAACAAGCAGCACACACGAGAAGGGGTTGTGTGTTCAAAGTTTGCCTGCTCTTCGCCAACTCTACTAGGTGGCTACATGTGGAAATATTTCCAACGCTACACGAAAGGCAGGGAGAGGAGGAAGGGACCGTCACAGCCACAACGCCACCATGAGGGAACATCCCTGTATGTTCTTCTGATGTTCATCTCACCAGTGCCTGAGCAAACACACTGATCTCATGAAGAACCCTCGGGTGGCCTCTCCCACCGAAGCTTCCACTGCCATGTCTGCACGACACCGGTCCGCTGTCGCTATGCTGGGCCGCACCGGCCACGCACGGTGAGGATTTGGAATGTCTCCTCTGTTTACAACGAGGTGACAAAGTTTCCCAGCTACCACAGACAAACCCATCATCCCTAGAGACTGCAAACCCAGCACTTCCAACGAAGGTGCCTTTGACCTAGGAAAAACCACCGCGCTTTCGTTACATGGACAGCCTGAGCCCTACAAATTTAAGCAAAGGAGTAAGCAGCAAACTTCAGCAAGAGGCAGGTATGAAAATACTCTCCATGATTTTTCTTTCGTTAACAGGAACAACTCATTTTCTTAAAACCAAACAAAAGTTCAACACACCCAACCTGTGCAGACAGGCAAAAGTATGCAGCATTTAACAATGCTAAAGCAAATGATTTTACAGGGATGAAAGGGAAGACATAAGACTCAAAAACCAAACGCTCAGGTTTACAAGCAAGTCTGCTTTTTCTTTTTTAAGACTAGAAAACGTACAATTTCATTTCATATGCAAGTGTGCACAGAGCTCGTTTCTCCAACATACTATCATCAGATAAACTGAGAAAGTCTTTGCATTAAACTGTTATTTCTTCAAACATTGATACATTTTGCAATACACCAGTTAAATACCAATATGTATGTGCATGCACAAGAAATATATGCATGTACACATTAAAATGTTCAACAAAGACAGCAGATTCCCTAGCCAGTGACCATCGTAGATACCAAAAATATACTAAAAAGTCAAGTTCTTTACCTGCCTTTGTTAAATACAGATTTTTGAGACTGCCTCCCTTCTTTTCCCCACAAATTGACACGATCTCCAGTGAAGCAGGCAAACGGGAAGGCAGGCGCATTGACGAGATTATCCCATAATCAAAAGTGAGCACCTTAAAAAGTTCAAACCAAGCTTTTTCTTTAAAATGTCTTTTCCATCCTTGCCAGACGCATGAGCTAAGAAAGGGAAGGACATTTTAAACAACGTTTTATTTCATTTGCTACACTCCCCAAACACACATCTCCGACACAAAAGCCTAGGATCAAGGCTACGTACGCTTCCCAACACTGACAACATTTCAAACCATCCAACTGCCATCCCACCAAACAGCCTCTGTCCTTGAAAATGGTGATTCTGAACAGCCTCCGTACGGGACATCCACTCTGTTAGGTACTCCAGTAAGGAAAGGTAATCACATAGTGTTCTGACACTTCTTTGTAACTCACCTGGGGCCATGCAAGGGGGTTATATTTTCAGGAAGTACTGCCCTGGAACTCCTGTGGGAGCAGGATCAAGGGGACACTTACAGCTTTTCAAGTAGTGCAATCTGTTTTGTTCTCCGTCCCAGTTCCATCCATTGCACACAGATATATACACACACATTTCACACTATCAAAGAGCAGCGTGCCTTCCTCTGAAAAACACTTAATGCAGAGCATGACTTCTTTTGTGAGATTCCAGGGAGACTTTTAAACAATACTTTTGAGCCTCTTCTTTGGTTAAGAAAAAAAAAGATGACTTTTTCCCTTTATGACAGCTAAAGGTACTTGTACTACACATGAATCATAAATGAACAGTACTGCACAAAAAGAAAAGCAGTACCCCAGGACACCATGACACATACTTTTTGGAACCACCTAATCCAATGATGACAATAAAAAAAAGAAAATCCATTTCATTTTAAACTCTTTGGCAAGTTTTTACTGTTTGCCAACACTGTAATTTGAAGCCCAATCCATATGCCCCAATCCGTTACAGCATCGTCCCTAACTGCACAATCATGTGAGAAACAAGCAGTGGTCTTCAGAGAGAGTTTGCTTTATGAAGTCGTGGTGAGCCAACTGTCAGCTGGAAGAGTTGGGACACGCTGGCAATGCCAAATATTAGTACTGCTGTCAACACACTGATGCAGCTTTACACACTGGTCTGAACAGATTGCAATTAACCTAAAACTGAGGTATAAATATACACAAATATGTACAGTACACATACAGGAAAATAGGTTTGCATTTGTAACATTGGTAACCTTAAAAATACTGGGAAGTTGGTATCTATGCCGTTGATTTGTTTGCTAATTTACTGGAATAATGAAGCCAGCATCTTCCACTAGAGAGGACTACAATGGAATAATAAAACTCAAAATCAAAAGCTTCTTCCTCTCACTTGGTCTTCACCACGCTCAATATCGGACTGTTCTGAGCGACTGTATCTTGAAAAGAAGGTTGATCACAGCTTTTCCATGCATCCTCAGAGGAAAACAAACAGGAAACCGAACGGGAGCCTCAACTGCATCTTCCTTTTTGCTGAATGGTCTTAATTTATATACATGTACGTGTGTGTCCATCGATGTAGAAAATAAAGTTGAAATCAGTTCAGTATAAATACATCTAACCCATTAATTCTGCCACTGGGAAGGTAATCATGGGTACAGCTCTTTTCAAGCAAGGTCTGTGCAAAGAGGTCATTAAAAATCATCTGATCTTAAGTCTTGACATCATCCATTCGAGTCCTTGGCACAGTCTGTGAACAAAAGAGGGAATTTTTAAGGAATATATGCACTTCTCGGGATAACTTCAAAAATGATTCCATGGCACCAATTTAAATTCTTCCTAAGAACTCTGTAACTCTGACTGAAGGAATCGTTTCCAGAAACAATTCACTCCGAGCACAGTATTTCCTAGATCTACAGGTGAGAGACTTCAAAGCTCAGCACTTCAAGCCACACAGTGACTGAAGTTTTCTCTGATTGTAATTATTCTTAATAAACCAGAAGAGATTTCAGGTTGTTCCCACCCCACCCTCATCATGCCCAAATCATAGTTCTATCAGTGTGGGGAGCGACTGCGGATTTGATGTGCACATTTTGGGTTTCAGATCACACTGATCCTAAGTCCGTCCATTCCGAGCCCCAAAAATCTTTTCAGTGTCAGATTATTATCAACAGGGTTAAAACCAAACGCCACAATAAAACCACCAAAAATAATTCGAGATGCTCCTCCCACGGACCAGAATAACTCTTACCCCTCTCCAGTCAGAGCACAGCACGCCTGAATGTGCCACTGGTGATCCTTAATCGAAGTCAGTTTCAGAAACTGAGATATTTCTGCTACTGTCATACACTCTTTAACGTCTTGCTTGTTAGCAAAGATCAGCAAACCTGCTTTTTTTAAGTCCTAAGGAGAAAGAAGAAAGAAGATGATTAAAAATCCGCCCTTGGAGGCAAAAGATATGATACCAAAGTAGAGAACCTCGAACCCTAGCAAAAAAAAAAAAAAGTCCCTAAACCATAGAACGCTGCAGGCCGACTGATGTGCAACTTCAGCAAACCCTTTGATCCGGCAGCGGAAACGTCCCATTTTTGCAAACCCACGTGCAACGTTTTGCTGTGCTCTGTGGGGATCAGAGGCACCCCGGAGCCCTGTGCCAGTAACACCACACTCATCTAATGGTCATGGCCCCCATTCAACCCTGACCTCGCAGACCATTCCTGCCTGCACATCCAAACCAGCCCCTGCCTTCTCCTCAGCTTGGCATTTGTATGTGCACACACCACTTTCATTACGGTGGACTTTAGTACCAAATCAGCGGGCTGTGCAGCAGTTCCTTCGCGGGGTAACACTGGGTTAGCCCACCACAGCTTTTTCAGCACTGGTAAAACCTGGCCAAGCCTGACTGCCGGAAGCACTGGCAGCATGTGTGCTGGCACCCAGCCTGGCACCGTGGGTCCCCGAGCCAGGAGGATGGCCCTCTGCATAATCCCACCCATTAAGAAGCATTCAGACTGCCACTGATAGTGTAAAGCAAGCTGCCGTGATATTTTATCTACAGGATATGCAGAATTTGTAGAAAATCATCGCTTGCACTGCTTCAGGATCAGAGGATGGACATTGGAGAGGGACTTTGGACAAGGGTGTGTAGTGATAGGACAAGGGGCAATGGCTTTAAACTGAAAGAGGGGAGATTTAGATGAGATATAAGGAAGAAATTCTTCCCTCTGAGGGTGGTGAGGCACTGGAACAGGTTGCCCAGAGAAGTTGTGGCTGCCCCATCCCTGGAAGTGTTCAAGGCCAGGTTGGACGGGGCTTTGAGCAACCTGGTGTAGTGGAGGGTGTCCCTGCCCACGGCAGGGGGGTTGGAACTGGATCGTCTTTGAGGTCCCTTCCAACCCAAACCTTTCTGTGATTCTATGATTCTATCTGCATGAACAAGCACATCACAACAAACCTCTTTATAAGGCCCACGCAAGATTTAAAACATCAGTACTCAGTATACAACATCAGTCTCAATTTAGAGAACAGCAGCTCTAGGGGAAAGCTGATTTTATCTCAAGCTGCTTGGAATGACACTAGTAAAGGTGCGTATTATTGAAAATCTGTCCCTCTGGAAGGCAAAAGGGCTTCCCAGTAAGCCAGGACAACTCGTTCACTTAAATGCCAATCAGGCACGCTCATTTTTAGAAGCAGTAAAATTAATACCGAAACAATCGACTGGTCCAGAAAACAGCTGGAACTGACCTGGGCAAGTCAATTTTGCCTTAACAAAGATTCAGTTGAACTGGTTATCAGAAATGAAAGATTTTAAAGGACTGCAAGGGAAAGCTATTTTAAATAAATATTTGACTTTCATTTCAGCTTTTACGTATTGCTGTTCTCTTCAAACATCTGGAGAGTTGGCAGAATATTCTGAAAACATCCTGCTGTGAAACAACGGGCACGTCTACTGTTAGATGGGTGCTTCTGGAGCACAGAAACAGTCTCCCAACACGAAACAAGGGCGTTGATGGTGTCTCGAGTTGCAGACTTCCCTCATTTCAAATTCAGTTCGTTAACAACTTCTGCATCTTCCTTTGTAGTTTACAAACCAGAAGATGCTATTTCGTTTGGCAGCTGCAACAGACTGAAGAGTACACCTCTGAAATTCTGACAGCAGCAGACCCAATGGCCACAGTCCCCCCACGCCACATTTAAGACTCCACCACAACCAAGCAAGCCAGATCTATTAGAGTAAACGTAACTTTTAATTTAAATACCAAAAATTAGAAATTCCAGACACTAAGCAAAGCACTTGCTTTTTCTCAAATGCTTTAGATCACCACGATCACTCAGAGGAAATACACCAGCAGTTTTTGCCCTTCCTGCAGTCACGTACTAAACAGTGGCTATAGTTTAAATATAGACGTAACATTTTGGCGTATAATGCCATCATTTTTATGCACATCTTTGTGTGCTGACACTTAAATTTGGAAGCTCAGTGTCATTTCAAACTGATCCTGTTAGCATTCAACTTGTCTTCTGAGTTCCAGCAGTAGCCAAGCTCTTACAAAGACATCTTTAGTAACAATGAGGGCTCCTGCACTGTGAGGACAGAGTGAAGTCTTTGGGACACCAGGTCATGCAACAGGTGCTCTTGGCTTGTACGGCAGTGTGGTACTTATGGGTGAGATCCAGGGAGCTCAGCTTCAGACCTGACACGGGGCTCGATTTTAAATAGGGTCTTTGCAAATTAGCAAATTATAATCTCATTCTGTAATCCCAAGTACACATAGGATGACAGCTACTATAACCACAGGCAATCTGTTTCTCCAGTTTTATAGCTGGTTGCTGTAAGACATATTATTAAGGCTCTATCTGTTTCACTGGGAAAACAGAAAACATGAAGCCATCAAAAATAGTAATTAAGTTGTTGGAGGAAACACTGGGTTTTTTTTAAATTATCTCATTCAGCTGTTAACGTGGACTGAAGTATAAAAACCACAAAAGCCATTTGTAGGTCCTAACTTCTGTTTCACTGAAGCACTCCAAGTTGGAAAGCTACTTTTGTGGGAGTTCTCTTCAGTAATTTGGTATTAATTTACAGCTTTATTAGGAGCTTCAGAAAAGACAGAGCCTCTAGCAGGAAGGAGAGGCCTCTCTCCATTCTGGTCTGTCTCCAGCTAGCCGGCGTGAGCGAGCTTTCACAAACAGCACGTGAATCTGCTTCCCTTAAACATGTGTCACCCAGATCTTACCCACAATAAACATTAAACCAAAGAAAACACAGGGTCTACTCACCTCGTGTGCTAACATTTTATACAGCTCTTCCTTAGTCACGGAAATTCTCTCTCTGTCTGTGCTGTCCACAACAACTATCACAAACTTTAAAAAGTGAAAAGTTATCAGTCAGAGAGGAAACTCTTCTGGTCACACACTTGTCAGCAGAACAGATTACAGTTCCCATCAGATTATCCAGTCAGATGGATTATCAGATAGCATCATATTCCAGATACACTTCTCCCAGCCAGAGTGTGATCGCCCACAGCACTGGGATTGTTTACAACTTGTGCTGTGGTTTGTATACAGAAGTAGCTCTGACACATCTTTTGATTTTCCGTTTTCCAATTTCAAGTGAAAAACCTATACTGAAAGCAAGCGCTTCTCTGTAACCCCAGATCTGGTTTTGTTCTTTGCTTAGCCTAACTGAGGTAGCACACAGATCTCTCACATAATTTGTTGCATCCTTAAAAAGGTAAATTCTATGAGTTTTCTCCCTCTACTTCAAATACTAACATCCAAGCAGATATTTACAAGGGATTTAAAAAAAAACCTTTAAACTCCATACTTCAAGAGCATGGTACTTGTCATTGTCTTATAGTGAAACAAAAGAAAACAAAGTTAATTATTATAAAAATTGGCTTTTTTGTTAAACTACAATTGATATCACAGAGGAAGCCACAACTTAATCATTATTTGAATCAAGTTCAGTGTATGTGCTGCAACTTCATTGCTAAACAGTTCTAAAAATTCTCAGGAGTGCTTAACTAAATTGATCATGGTAGATTGCAAGATAAAGCTGTCAAAGTCTCGGGGGAAAACTTCTGGGGCTTTCAGTCTTACTTCTGAGGAATTACGCAGGTTTTAGGGTACCTGTTACAGACACACAGCAGTCACGGTCCATGAGAGGGGACCTGTAAACGTGGGGACGTGTAATATCATGTCAAATGGAGCACCTGCCCTGAGGCTGCAGATCCCCAGACACGGAATCCTTATGAACAAGTCGGTTTTAATTGCAACTCCACACTATGCATCTTATACAGGAAATGTAAAATGAGTCCTGCAACAGGTTGCTAAGGAGGAGACTCCAAAGATCAAACCAGGAGTACTCCGAAGTAGCTACGGCAGCATTCAAAGCACAGGTAACATCCAAAGCCCCTCTGGAAGCGCATCCGGTACGATCTCCAGTACGCCATACTCCCTTCACCAGCAACAGCTACCCCGAGGGGTCCAGCAAGGCACTGGTTCTCACCTCAGTGTTGGTGTAGTAGGTGTTCCACGAGGACCGCAGAGACTCCTGCCCCCCGATGTCCCACATCAGGAAGCGCGTGTTGTTCACCACTATCTCCTCCACGTTGCTCCCGATGGTGGGTGAGGTGTGCACCACTTCGTTCATGGAGCTGCAGAGGAAAGAGAGCGGCTCGGTGAGAAATGGCAACATCTGGCACATTACCTGCGTTACCGAGCGCCTTGGGACCCCAAACTGACCTACTTCTGTAAAAACTAATCCATGCTTATTCCAAGGTAGAAAACTTAGTGATAGAATTCTAGCAAACTGTCCTTATGCAGCAAATAGAGACAAGGTTTGACAGCAGAAGGTGAAAAAAAACAAATAAAAATAGCAATAAGAAAGGAGTCAGTGAACTACATAACAATCAAATTACAGAGCTGACAGAGCATTTATGAACAAAATGATATTATAATTAATTAAATCAGAAAGCTGAGAGAATGTTTGCTTCAGAAGCTGTTTTAAGCAGTCAGCTTTTCTTTTTCCACACTGATTTTGGCACGCATGGGAGACACCAGTTGTTTTTCTTCAAGAATGTGGTTAAGCCACGAGATTTCCAAGGTGGCAGAAAAACAGCAACTCAGCATCCAGCTCCACCAAACACACCACAACTCGCTTTCCTCCCAGTATGGGCCACCAAGACCATACTGCCTTCACAATTCAGTTACTTTATGTCCAAACTTCCCTCTCTTCTCCCTGCAGCACAGTACAATAGCTCCAGTTTTCAAAGACAAGTGCAGTCATGAAACGTTTCAAATATATTGTTTTTAGAGAGATACTGAGTGTAACTTTGTCATTAAAGTCGTCGGTTTCACATCAATAGTGATAACCAAATGTGTACTCTGGATGCTCCTAAAGTTCAAATTATTTAAACTCTACTGTAAGGGATATGCAAAAAAATTAAAAGTAGCTTCAAGGAAAACGTCAACCATTTTCAAAGAACTTAATTATTTTCTCTTTTGATAACGTTGATATATTTTTTTCATTTTATATGAATGTTTTTTGAAGCTTTAGCAGAGCTTTTAGTTACAGTGACAGCAATTTGAGACTTGTAACAGTGCTAGAATATTTCCTGAAGAGGATACAGAGAACCAAGCAGATAAAGGGATGGTCTAGTGCTCTGAAAAGGAGTCTCAGTTACACACTGTCTTAGCAGAATATGGCAAGAAACCTGTTCAACACGCATATTTGAAGGTAACTACATATGGGAAAGGGAAGGATCAGAAGAAAGAACTGTAACATCAAATTAAGGATAGCAATGATATAAGAAGAGGCCAGTGGCCGATTTCACATTTAAAGAACAGGTTTTAGCAGAGTTCTTTCAATGCTTGGAAGAGACGTGTCATGAATTCCCTTTCCTTGACCGAACCCGCAGCCTTTCACATTGAGCTGCTGACATCTTGCAGTTTGCAATACGATAGGAGGACTATTCCCTCCTCCCCACCGAGACAAGGTGAGCACGAAGCTTAATGGCACTTCTAGACACCTGATCGCAAAATGCTGCTGCCACCTGAAGGGATGGAAGAGATCCGAGTACAAGAGCAGGAATAAATGGCATTTATATCTAATAAATGGTATTATTTCTAATAGATCGCTGCCATGATCTGTTACAAGAATTGCCACTCCAACATCTGCTGCGACCCTCTGCAAAACCGAAGTAACAGCAAGTAACCAACACTACTTGTCCTGCAGTTATCCCTGCCCATGTCCCATGGAAGGAGTGAAACATTCATCCATGTGCAGAACGCTCATCTGCCATGAAGAAACAGTGAGAGAAAAAAAAACGGGATATGCACAGAGGGAGGTAAGGTTTAAGGAGGAGTAGAGCAGGAGGAACAGAGGACAGCATATGTACAGAGCTCTGTCAAAGTGGCAAACAGGGGAAGGGGAATACGAGGAGAGAGAAGGGGAAGTCCTGTGGAGCTAAAACGGGTATAAAGGAAAAGGAGGCACATAGAGGCCTGCTGTACAAAAGGGAAAAGAAAACACTGAGACTGCAGAAATGAGAAGATGAGAAGAAGAATCATGCGACATTTGTGGAGGAAGTGGAAAGACACGGGCAGCACTAAAACGCACCGAGGACAGCCCCCAGCTGCAGCAGTTACCAGTCTTAAAAAATATTCTTCGTTCTATTTATGCTTTTTAAAACTTCTCACTCACGATTTAAACAACGGCAACCACCTGCATCTTTTCCCTTTCTCGGTAGAGCTTGCTAGGGCATAAGCGGCTGGGAAAGCTGCACGAGTTTCATGTCTCAGAAAGGCAAAAGCAGACCATAATTTGACATAACCCAAACATTTTAAGAAAGCATATTTTACGTGTGGGATTGGACTGGTATGGTCGTATCACTTAACAGGAGTTATTTCTGATACTGACTCAGGAACACCTCCTAATACCAGACAACTTGACGTGAGAAATCGCAAGCCTGTTTCTATTCTAAACAGACCTTGAGTTGCCTGTCCCACCTAGAAGCTTCAGAGCCTGTGAACAAACCTGTACCCTTTTATCAAAACGCAGCCGAGGACCAGAGATAGGAAGCTCACGCAAGTTTCATGTACAAGACAAACACAAGTCAATGCCACCGCTGAAGGCAGAAGCTGGGCTGCCACCAGCCACAGAGCTGCGTTGTCCTGGGCTCAGGCAGCGCTCAGCCTTCCTCCTTCATCCCGCACCACAAACGATATGGAAGCACACCTTGGCACACGGGACATTGGTCATGGCAGGGAGAGGTCAGGCTTCACTGCTTTGCTGCTCACAGAGCAATTTGTTTAGTATCTACAAGCTGTGGCACAGATGGGTTTAGCAGCGTTGTCCTGTGGCTAACCCTCCATATAATCGTATTTTATGGAGCTGGCAAACAGCCTGCACGGTGACACCAAAGCCAGTTGTGATTAAGTGGTAACAGCGAAGTAATCTGATAAATAAAAGCTCTGACCAAAACCTTATTCATACACCAGGCAAAACACAGACCTCTCCAGACTCTGAACACATGCTTTGACCCACTGCCACCTACGCTGTTCAGTAATCCTCAGCGTAATGCTCTCCAAGTAAAAATTAACAGGGAAAGCCACAACAACAAATCGGAGTAATATACACACAATGCACACCTGGAAATACGTGAAACATCTGGAGTTCATACTTACAATTGATAAAGAATGGTTGTTTTTCCTGCATTATCCAGACCAACAATGATTACTTTGTGCTCTGAAATAAAAACATTACTAGTAAGTCATACAGTTAACTTTGCAATCACGATAACAGCCGTGTTACGAAACAAGGTTAGCGTTGCATTTTTCACTGACGTCCTAAGCAAACACTGCTAAACTTCAGGTGCTGCATTTCATGGGCCATACCTAAAAGTTTGTTTGCCTGTGGAGGTCTACAAACCCGTGTTCCGTTCCCAGCGGGTAAGGGACTGTCGATTTTTCTCTGTCTGCACATCTACAGGAACAATTTCTGAGAGATTACACGTGGATTTTTTCCTGATCACAACCGCTAGAGCAGTCTCACACTGGAATCCTTTCCCAAGCTTCTACTGGTTTTTGCAGACCATAAAAGACTGCACTTTCTATTCCCCCCAACTATAGTAGTTCTCAAGAACATATGCTTACACATGTTTAGTGCTTATTTCCAAGGCTGTACTCTTATCATGGCCTGCAACATCTTAAATCTTTTTGCAAACAGTTGCTAAAAGCCACAACAATGCCAACTTCTGCTGTAAGCAGGGTGATCCACCTGCCTCCCTCAGTGTCCTCCTTCCGCAGGTTTGGAACGTGGAGAATAGTTTCGCCTACAAATATTTTACAGTATGCATTCATCCAATTCAGCTGCAGACAAAACCAACAAGTACTACACAAAACTACTCCAACACACATGGAAACACGTTTTAGAGCTTAATGCTAGAATCAATTATTGTTTCTATTTAGGACCTTCTTTCTTACACGTCACAAAATTGAATTTGAACTCTACAGCTGGTGTTGTCAAGCATGTTCAAATTCATGATTTCCAGGACGAGCGAGCGCTGCCTGCTCTCAGGTGTATTACACAACTTTTACTTGCGCAAAAACCTCGGCTTCAATGGGTCTATTCGTGCAAGTGAAAGCTGTGTGAGAACGGGCTTTCTTCTCCCCCTCCCCAGTGGTCCACAAGGGCAACAAAAAGCCATTATAAATCTGCCCAGGCTTCAGACGACCAGAGATCAATTCCTTCTGTTAGCAAAGTACACTCGTATTGATTTATCACAGAAGAGAGAGGGAGGGGATAGGGGTCAGGTAAGTGGGGTTTTCTTTGTTTTGATTTTATCAATATTGTGTGGTTTTGCAGAGTTGTCTTATAGATCACCAGATATGAGTTCCAGTTTTAATAACTTTGCATAACTGCACAATATTGTAAAAATATCTGCTTACCTGACCCCACATAACTAGGAACTTTTGTTCCTGATGTGATGCTGCCAGCATAGTGGATGTTAGGAAATCAGTTGGAAGAGAAGATCTGAGGTGGGGCTGGACGCTACAAGACAAAAATATTTTGTTGTATTTGCACTAAGTGTTAATGGGCACATAATTGGGACATTCAGCATGCATGTGTAAGCATCTTTAAGTTGGCTCAAAATCAAATTTAAAAGACCGTATAAACTCAGATGAGAGCGTCAGCATGTGCTTGACGGTTAAAGTTACAACTCTCATTAAGACCTCACTGTAAGGAAGTCAGGCGTTACAAATATGAAGTCATAAACAACATTTACTCCATAAACGGGTAATTTTGCCAGGCATCGACGTTTATCACTTAAAACCACCAACAAAGCACACTCCAAGATGAGACTATACGCTACAACGCAACCCAGCTGTCTCCTTTCAGCACGCGTTAATAATTTAACATCCACCTTTCAGGAAACGAGCTTTACGGTGACTTAGGGCAGGGAAAAAGAGGTTAAAATCCCTCAACTTTTCTAACTGCGGCGTGTCCTCCCGGGTCCCCCACCCCGCGGCCGGAGAATCTCCCTCAGGCCCGGCCCGGCCCCT